TGGCTTACATTAGCTACTTGGAAGGCTGAGGCAGGAGGATCACTTAAGCTCAGGAGTTGGAGGTTATAGCAAATTAGGATGACTCCAGTGTACTCTACCCAGGGTAGCAGAGCAAAACCCTATCTCAGAACAAAACAAAACAAACAAAATAGCAAGTGTTGGTGAAGATGTGGAGAAATTGGAACTTTTGTTTTTTTTTGAGACAGTTTCAACTATGTCACCCTTGGTAGAGTGCTGTGATTTCAAACTCTTGGGCTTAAGCCGTTCTCTTGCCTCAGCCTCCCAAGTAGCTGAGACTACAGGTGCCTGGCTATTTTTTTGTTGCAGTTGTTTAGCTGGCCTGGGTCAGGTTCGAACCCACCACCCTTGGTGTATGTGGCTAGCGCTGTAACCACTGTGCTATAGGTGCCGGCCAAGAAATTTAAACTTTTGTGCATTGTTGGTGAGCATGTAAAATTATAGTAGCTGTTGTGGATGGCGCCTGTGGCTCAAAGGAGTAGGGCACTGGCTCCATATACCAGAGTTGGTGGGTTCAAACCCAGCCCCGGCCAAAAATTGCAAATAAATAAATAAAAATAAAATTTATAGTAGCTGTTGAAATCAATAGGCATTTCCTTAAAAGGTAAAACACACCATTGCTATATTATCCAGAAATCCAACTTCTGGTTACGTACCCAGTGTACCCAAAAGAATTAAAAGCTGAGACCTGAACACCCATATTCATAGCAGCATTATTCATAATAGTAATAGGTCAGAACAGCCCCAGTGTTATTCATTTGTTGACAGATGAATGGGCAAACAAAATGTGGCATATACATACAATTTGTTTGGCCTTAAAAAGGAAGGGAATTTTGACTTATGCAGCAGCAAATCTTAAAGACATTATACTAAGTGAAATAAGCTAGTCACAAAGGACAATATTATATTATTTCTTTCATATGAGGTTCCAGAAATACGTTAAATAGCTAATAAACACATGAAAAGATGCCCAATATCATTAGCCATTCAGGAATGAGACATCACTACAACCCACTAGGATAGGTATAATCAAAAAGACAGACAGTACTAAGTGTTGGCAAGTATCTAGATCAACTGGATTCCTTACATATTGCTGATGGGACTGTAAAATGGTGCTGCTACTTTCCAAAGTTAAGCATAAATTTATGGTATGACCCAGCAGTTCCACTGCTAGCTGTCTCATGGGAGAAATGAAAACATGTTCACAGACTTTTGTGTGGGCTTGTTTCTATTAGTGCTCAGTGATCATAATCATCAAAAAGTGTAAGCAACCCAGATATTCATTAATTGGTGAATGCCTAAACAAAATGTGGTATACACATATGGTAAAATACTATTCAGCAGTAAATGGAATGAGGTACTAACACATACTACAATGTGGGTGAACCTGGAAATATGCTAAATGCGAGAGGACAGACACAAAAGATAGTTGTATGAGAGGCACTTCTCTAAAGACAGCAGATCAGTTGATACTGGGCTGAGACTTGTGAGTAGGAGTGAGGATTGACTGTAAATAGGCATGAAGAAACCTGGTTTTTTTTTGTTTGTTTGTTTTGTTTTTTGTTTTTTTTGAGACAGAGTCTAACTGTGTCGACCTGGGTAGAGTGCTGTAGCATCATAGCTCACAGCAACCTCCAACTCTTGAGCTTAAACGATTCTCTTGCCTCAGCTTCCGAAGCAGCTGGGACTATAGGTGCCCACCACAATGCCTGGCTATTTTTTTTTTTTTTTTGGTGTAGTTGTCTTTGTTGTTTGGCAGGCCCAGGCTAGGTTCAAACCTGCCAGCTGTGGTGCATGTGGCTGGCTCCCCTTATCCACTGAGCTACAGGTGCCAAGCCAAAGAAATTTTTTTTTTTTTTTTTTTTTTTGAGGCAGAGTCTCACTCTGTCACCCAGTGCTGTGGCATCAGCCTAGCTCTCAGCAAACTCAAACTCCTGAGTTCAAGAGATCCCCCTGCCAGCATGAGGAAACTTATCAGGGTAAGAAAAGAGTTCTAAAACTGGCTTGTGATGGTTGGACAACTATAGAAGTTTACTACAAATTATTGAATTGTTTTTTTAAAAAATTTGAATGAGATGTACATGGGTCATTACTAACGTTTTGAGATACACAACAATTAAAAAATGTAAAATGCACATGGATGGAAACTTATGAAGCTCTCCTAGCAACAATGTTAGGCTCAGCAAGTTGAAACTTTGGACCAGTGAATCAGAAAGGACTCTGTAATCTGTGTTTCTTGGAAGTGAAATAATGGACCATTACATAGTCTGGCTCAAAACTTGTGGTAGTGACCCATGTACTGGAAAGAGCATTCAAGCTTATCTGAGATAATCTGGGAAAGTGTCAGCTGGAGTAGTGCATTAGAGAAGGGTTCAAAAAAGAGTGAATAGCATGTGAGATGAGCAGTGTGAATCCATGGGAAAGAGAGCATGATTTGTACAGGGAATCATGTAAGTCTTGCCATTGGTGAGAGATAAAGTTTGAGACTCAGGCTGTTCAAAGATAAGGTTAGGAGTGGATTTAAAGAAATATAACTCAGCTTATTTTTATATTTCTAAGTATATGGATTCTAAGCTATTGGTAATAAATTGGTGAGAATATAAGTGGATTATTATTATAGGCATGCTTTTTATTCACAAAGTTTAACACCATGTTGAAAATTATCAGAAGAAAGAATATTTAATACTGGCTCGGTGCCTGTAGCTCAAGCGGCTAAGGCACCAGCCACATACACCAGAGCTGGTGGATTCAAATCGGGCCTGGGCCTGCCAAACAACAATGACAACTACAACCAAAAAAAAAAAAAAAAAAATAGCTGGGTGTTGTGGTGGGTGCCTGTAGTCCCAGCTACTTGGGAGGCTGAGGCAAGAGAATCGCTTAAGCCCAGGATTTGGAGGTTGCTGTGAGCTCTGATGCCACAGCACTCTACCCAGGGCAACAGTTTGAGGCTCTGTCTCAAAAAAAGAAAAAAAATTTTAAAACCGAAACTAAATGTTTTGCCCTCTTTGAGCAAAGTCATTGCACTTCTAGGATACTATGTTCTATGTATTTTTCAGGACTCGGTTGCTGTAGGCTGTTTCTGCTATATCTTATCTAATGCCTCTTCTCTTCTGTGTTTTGGCACCTCACTTATGGCACTTCCAGCATAATACCCTGATCCTTTCTCTGAGACTATAGAATCTTTGATAGCAGAGAATAAACATTTTCTTCAGTTTTATAACTGCAGTGTCTAGCATGATGTTTGGCACACAGCGCATAGGTGGAAGTGAATTTGCTTCCAGAGCTTTCAAAGAAGGACCAGCACAGCATAGATCGAAGGGTTAGAAGGAACTGCATGAGGTTAGTCCACTGGAAGGACACAAGGTGAAGGTTACAAACTCTTAAACCAATGTGACTTTGTGTTGAGATGAATGATTCTCCATCTAATTTTTTAATTCCTATGTCTACCTGTCATTGTTTCTTTTCTGTCTTAAAATTTCAGGAGTGGAAAAGGCCTTTAGAGTTTATATAATCTAGCGTTTATTTACTTTGTGATCATAAGCCAATCTCTCAAACCTTTCTAAGCCTGTTTCCTTATCCATAAAATGGACCTCGTTGTTACAAAGATTTGGATAACATCATACTTACAAAATTCTTGAGTGTTCAATCATAAAATTAATCCAGTAAGTGGCTAGAAGGGAAAAATTAAATGAATTATCCAAAGTTTATCACAAGCATATAGCTGAGTTTGGACTAGATTCTGACATCTTTGGTCATAATCCAGTATTTCCATATTGTCATGGTTGGTACTTCTTTTTATCCTGGTAACTGTCTCTCTTTTTTAAGTTGCATTTTCAATTTGATATGGGCTAGGTAACAAAATCACAAGCTCTATGCATGTAGTACATGCTTAGTAAGCATTGCTCATTGCTATGTACCAGGCATTGTGGTAGGTATAGGAAAACAGATAAATTAAAAATGGTCTCTGTACTGAGGAGTTTGGTGTCTAGAAGGTAGAAGATAGACCTTCTAGAAAAACATATAAATTAAATGAAGTGTTAAGTGCTGTAGTATATGAATGGTGATGATGTAAGGAGGATTTAAACAGCATATGCTGGAAAGGAGACTTCTGGGATCAAAGTCTTCAGAGTAGGTGTGCAGAGAAGAGGTAGGTAGTCACCAGGTGGAAAGAGCCGAGGGATATAGGAATGACTGGCTCACTTTTGCTTTGGAGTTTCTTCTGGAAGGTGAGGTCATGGAACATTCTATAAAGAGACTGAAGGTATAGTTTATTTGCAGTGGAGCCAGGGTTCCAGAGATTACAGTGAAATAGGCAAGGAGTATAGAATGAGAGGGCAATGTTACTGCCCTTCCAGCTCCTTACTTGTAGATTCTAGGTAATTACTTTTTGGCTCTTAAGTAAAAGTCCTAGATCATTTCCATTTGACTATTGGAAATTAACTATCTTTTTGTCTGATGACTCTCCTAGATACAGTATCATTTATTAATGACTTATTAGACATTTTTCCATTTTCATTTAGTCAATGATGTTAAAAGCCCCTTAGCAGCATATCCTAGAAATAAGTTAACTCTGGGGCTGGGTGCAGTGCCTCATGCCTGTAATCCTAGCACTTTGGGAGGCTGAGGCCTGTGGATTGCCTGAGCTCACAGGTTGGAAACCAGCCTGAGCAAGAGTGAGACCCCACCTCTAAAAATAGCCAGGTGTTGTGGTGGGTGCCTGTAGTCCCAGCTACTTGGGAGGCTGAGGCAAGAGGATTGCTTCAGCCCAAGAGTGTGAGGTTGCTATGAGCTATGACACCATAGCACTCTACTGAGGGCAACAAAAGTGAGACTGTCTCAGAAAAAGAAAGAAAAAAAAAAAGAAATAAGTTAACTCTCTATGTGAATGTTTTATGAAATCTGAAATGAAGAATTTGGTATAATATGAATACTTTTAATTTTCTGTATATTTAATGTCTTTGTGTGTGTGTGTATATGTGTAGGTTAAATGTATCTTTAGAATACAGTATGAAGAGGTCTTGTATATTCAAAGGCCTATTGAAGAAGACAGAAGGAAATTTTTCCAAGAATTGATTCTCAATCAGGCATCAATGGCTCCACCACGAAGGAAACACACTGGTAAAGTTCATAAAGCCTTTAGGAAAATTTTTGGGGTAGAGGGATGGAATTAAGAAATGCCCTTTTTTGGAGTAATTTTTTTTAAAAAAACTTTTTTCACAGAAGTGAAGACAGTTTATCAGATTCTGCTTATCTTTAGATGGACACATTTGGAAGTGGCCATTGTGTTCACCTGAGTCAAGGAGACTGAGAAGTACAGTCTTATTGTTAAAGCTTTACTAAGTAGGGTGGCTCCTGTGGCTCATTGAGTAGGGCGCTGGCCCCATATACCGAGGGTGGTGGGTTCAAACCTGGCCCAGCCAAACTACAACAAAAAAATAGCTGGGCGTTGTAGCAGGAACCGGTAGTCCCAGCTACTTGGGAGGCTAAGGCAAGAGAATCGCCTAAGCCCAGGAGTTGCGGGTTGCTGTGAGCTGTATGATGCCATGGCACTCTACTGAGGGCGATAAAGTGAGACTCTGTCTCTACAAAAAAAAAAAAAAAAAAGAAAAGAACTTTACTAAGTAGGAATTTTCCTTTTCGTTCTAGTCCAGGTCATCTGGGAGATTTCACATTCTGAAGATAAAAAAGTCAAAGAAAAATGTCTTAGTTATGCTCTGTTTTAGTCACTTTAAGTGACCAAGACTTGAATTGTACTTTTTCTGTGAACACCAGATGTTGTGCTGATTACTGTGTGGGCCAGGGTAGATTTGATGAATTAAGAGCTAGTTAGAACATTTGCCCTTTCTTTTCTTTTCTTTTTTTTTTTTTTGAGATAGAGCCTCAAGCTGTCCCCCCCTGGGTAGAGTGCCATGGCATCATAGCTCACAGCAACCTCCAACTCCTGGGCTCAAGCAAGTCTCCTGCCTCAGCCTCCCAAGTAGCTGGGACCACAGGTGCCCGCCACAACGCCAGGCTATTTTTTGGTTGCAGCCATCATTGTTGTTTGGTGGGCCCGGGCTGGATTCGAACCTGCTAGCTCAAGTGTATGTGTCTGGCACCTTAGCCACTTGAGCCATAGGCGCCAAGCCCATTTGCCCTTTCTAATTTATTTATTGATTAATTTTCCAATTATTTATTTAGGGTCCATTATGTCTGATGTTTTATGTGAGGTATTTGAAAACCTACTGTGGCTTTGTTTTAAGGGTTATGTTTTTTTCTCATAGATGTAAGAGAGGCGTGAAGAATTTGTCAGATTTTAGTTCCCTGACATAAGGTCTGCATTCTAAATCATTGAGAAGAAAATTTCTTTTCCTGATCTTAAAGATGTGTAAAGGATAAGATCTGTTTGCTTAATCTTTCAACCTTTTACAGGAAGTAGCAGTCCTTTGGTAAAAAGTTTTAGGCCTCTTTACTCGTGTTCTAGCTCTTCGTGAAGAATGTTAAATACGTTCCCCATCCCTACCATGTCCTTACTTTTCCATGCTATTTCTCCTTTTCTTTGTTTTTCATTGGTTATGTTATTCAACATTTCAATAATTTTGTTGTTCTTTAGTGGTTCTTTTCCAAATTTTCTCAGTGATTTAAAAATGAACACCTATCAAATTGCTATAGTTAGGAGTTTTTCCCTACAAAAACCTTGAGAAAATTCCATATGTAAGTTATACCTTCTGATTATATTGTCACTTCCTTTCCAAGTATTTCAAGTATTTTATTATGAAAATGATTCATTTTAAAATTTTATGATCTTAGATATATTTTAATCTCATAGATCTGAGTTTTTATGTTTTAAATTGATAAAATTCTTTTTGAGTTGCTTCTATTGTCATTTCACTTTTTATCTTGGGGCTATTTAGAAATAAACAAAAATAGAATTTTAATCAAGACCATACTGTGATACCAGGGAAATCTTTTAGGAATTAGAGAACATTATAATTAGAAAAGTTAATAACTTCACCTTTTAATAGTTTTGGTTTGTAGTAGGGTAGATAGTGAATAAGTCAATACCGTAGGTTTTACATATAATTCTTTAGACTGATTTTCTTTTTTTTTTTTTTTT